GGAGGGGGTTGGGAAGGGATTTCTGGAAGGAATTCCCAGAGAATCCCAGGAAAAACGGGAATTCCAGGAATTCCCTTTATCCCAAATTCCCAAATCCCAGCCCGGGGGGTTTTGGGGTCCCGGCTCCGGAATTTTGGGGTTTTTTTGGGAATTTTGGGGATTTCTCTCACATTTTCCTCTTGACGCCCAGGATCCGGTTGGATTGCACCAGGGAGATCAGGAACTGGATCAGCTGCGAGAGAAAACAGGGAAAGGGTCAGGAAAAACGGGAAAAAACGGGAAAAAACGGGAAAAATGGGGAAAAATGGGGAAAAATGGGAAAAAATGGGGGAAAATGGGGAAAAAAGGGAATAAAACCTGGGAAAAATGGGGAAAATGAGGAAAAATGGAAAAAAACTGGGGAAAAAGGGGGGGAAAATGGGGAAAACAGGGAAAAACAGGGAAAAAATGGTAAAAATGGGGGAAAAGGGGAAAAAAAAGGGAAAAATGGGAAAAAAACCTGGGAAAATGGGGAAAAACAGGAAAAAAACTGGGGAAAAAATGGGAAAGAATGGAGAAAAATGGAAAAATGGGGAAAAAAGTGGGAAAAAATGGGGGAAAATGGGAAAAAAACTGGGAAAAAAAAAGCTGGGAAAAATGGGGGAAAAGGGGAAAAAAAACTGGGAAAAATGGGAAAATAGGGAAAAAACTGGGGAAAATGGAGGAAAAATGGGGAAAAATGGGAAAAAACTGGGGAAAAAAACCCTGGGAAAAATGGGGTAAAACAGGAAAAAAACGGAGGGAAAATGGGAAAAATTTGGAAAAAATGGGAAAAATTTGGAGAAAAACTGGGGGAAAACGGGAAAAACCTGAGGTAATTGGGAAAAAATGGGGGAAAAGTGGGAAAAAAACCTGGGGAAAATGGGAAAAAATTGGGAAAATTGAGAAAAAGCAGGGAAAAAACTGGAGAAAACTGGGAAAAAAAAAGGCAAAAAACTGGGAAAAATAAAAATGGGAAAAAAAAAGAAAAAAAATTGGGGAAAACTGGGAAAAATGGGAAAGAATGGGAAAAAACTGGGAAAAAATGGGGAAAATTGAGAAAAACAGGGGAAAACATGGGGAAATGGGAAAAACAGAGAAAAATGGGAAAAACACTGGGCAAAATGGGAAAAAATGGGAAAAAATGGGGAAAATGGGGAAAACTGGAAAAGGGAAAAAATGGGAAAAGAAACCTGGGGAAACTGGTGGAAAATTGGGAAAATATGGCGAAATCTTGGAAAAATGAGGGAAAAAACCTGGGGAAAAATGGGGAAAAAATGGGAAAAAACTGGTTAAAATTGAGAAAAACAGGGAAAAAACTGGGGAAAACTAGGAAAACTGGGAAAAAAAATGAAAAAATGGTGAAATGGGGAAAGAAAAGGGAAAATTGGGAAAAAAACTGGGGAAAACTGGGAAAAATGGGGAAAAAAATGGAGAAAACTGGGAAAAATGGAGGAAAATTGGGAAAAACAGGGAAAAAATGGGAAAATAACTGAGGAAAACCGGGAAAAAAACCTGGGGAAATGGGGAAAAAACTGGGAAAAATTGGGAAAAACGGGGTGGGGAAACTGGAAAAAATTTGGGAGAAAAATGGAAAAATTGGGAAATCCTTGGAAAACTGGGGGGGGGGAACTGGGAAAAATTGGGGAAAATGGGAAAAATTTGGGTGGGGAAGGGATTTGGGAAGGGAAAAGTGGGAAAAAACTGGGAAAAATTGGGAATTAGCATGGAAATTTGGGAAATACCCCAGAAATTTAGGAATTACCCCCATAAATTTGGGAATTAGCCCGGAAATTTGGGAATTACGCTGGGGAATTTGGGAATTACCGCCGGAAATTTGGGAAGAACCCCTGGGAATTTGGGAATGACCCCCAAAATTTGGGAATGACCCCCAGAAATTTGGGAATGGGGTCTGGAAATTTGGGAATGGGGTCTGGAAACTTGGGAATGGGGTCTGGAAACTTGGGAATGGGGTCTGGAAACTTGGGAATTACCCCCGGAAATTTGAGACTTACACCTGAAAATTTGGGAATTACCCCCGGAAAATTGGGAATTACCCCCAGAAAATTGGGAATTATCCCCAGAAATTTGGGAATTACCACTAAAATTTGGGATTTACCCCCAGAAATTTGGGAATTACCCCCAGAAATTTGGGAATTACGCCCAGAAATATGGGAATGACCCTGGAAATGTGGGAATTTTGCTGGAAATGTGGGAATTTCGCTGGAAATGTGGGAATTTTGCTGGAAATGTGGGAATGACCCTGGAAATGTGGGAATTTTGCTGGAAATGTGGGAATTTCGCTGGAAATGTGGGAATTTCGCTGGAAATGTGGGAATTTTGCTGGAAATGTGGGAATTTTGCTGGATGGAAATGTGGGAATTTCGCTGGAAATGTGGGAATTTGGCTGGAAATGTGGGAATTTTGCTGGAAATGTGGGAATTTCGCTGGAAATGTGGGAATTTCGCTGGAAATGTGGGAATTTCGCTGGAAATGTGGGAATTTTGCTGGAAATGTGGGAATTTTGCGGGAATGGGGCGTTACCTTGTTGACGACCTTCTGCTGCTGCGCGTGCTTCTGGCGCAGGGCGGCCACCTCCCGCCACAGAGCCTCGTTCTCCCTGCCGACACAATTCCAGGGAAAAACGGGAAAATTCCCTCAGGAACGGGGAAATGCCATGGGAACACGGGGGAGAAATTCCGTCAGGAACGGGGGAAATGCCATGGAAAAACGGGAGAAATTCCATGGGAAAAGAGGGAGAAATTCCGTCAGGAACGGGGAAATGCCATGGGAACACAGGGGGAAAATTCCATGGGAAAACAGGGGAAAATGCCATGGGAAAACCAGGAGAAATTCCGTCAGGAACGGGGAAGTTCCATGGGAAAACAGGGGGAAAATGCCATGGAAAAACGGGGGGAAAATTCCCTCAGGAACGGGGAAAATTCCATGGAAAACGGGGGGAAAATTCCGTCAGGAACGGGGGAGAAATTCCGTCAGGAATGGGGGAAATGCCATGGAAAAACGGGAGAAATTCCATTAAAAACAGGGAGAAATTCCATGGAAAAACGGGGAGAAATTCCGTCAGGAACGGGGGGAAATTCCATGGAAAATGGGGAGAAATTCCATGGAAAATGGGGAAAAATTCCATGGAAAATGGGGGAGAAATTCCAGGAAAACAGGGGAGAAATTCCATGAGAAACAGGGGAGAAATTCCATGAGAAATGGGGGAGGAATTCCATGGAAAACAGGGAGGAGTTCCATGGAAAACAGGGGAGAAATTCCTTGGAAAACGGGGAGAAATTCCATGGAAAATGGGGAGAAATTCCATGAGAAATGGGGGAGAAATTCCATGGAAAACAGGGAGGAATTCCATGGAAAATGGGGAGGAATTCCATGGAAAATGGGGAGGAATTCCATGGAAAACGGGGGAGAAATTCCATGGAAAACGGGGAGGAATTCCATGAGAAACGGGGGAGAAATTCCATGGAAAACGGGGGAGAAATTCCGGGAAAACAGGGAGAAACTCCATGAAAAATGGGGAGGAATTCCATCAATATCCCCAATTCCTGGATTTATTCCAGGATTTAATCCTGGATTTTATCGCCAGTTCCTGGATTTAATCCTGGATTTTATCCCCAATTCCTGGATTTTTTCCCGGATTTTATCCCCAATTCCCGGATTTTTCCCAGGATTTATTCCCGGAATTTTTCCGTACCGTTTCACGTTGAGCAGCCGGGAGTCCAGGCTGTGCTGCCGTTCCCCATTCCATCCCCACATTCCATTCCCCATTCCCTGGCTGTTTATTCCCGGATTTTTTCCCGGATTTTATCCCGGATTTTTTCCCAGATTTCATCCCCGATTCCCGGATTAATTCCCGGATTTTTCCCGGATTTTATTCCCGGATTTCCCTCACCGTTTCATGTTGAGCAGCTGCGAGTCGAGGCTGTGCTGCCGTTCCCCATTCCATCCCCCATTCCCTGGGGGTTTATTCCTGGATTTTATCCCGGATTTTATCCTGGATTTTCCCCGATTAATTCCCGGATTTCTCCGGGATTTCCCTCACCGTTTCATGGTGAGCAGCCGTGAGTCCAGGCTGTGCTGCCGTTCCCCATTCCATCCCCTGGCTGTTTATTCCCAGATTTTATCCCGGATTTTTTCCCGGATTTTCCCGGATTAATTCCCGGGATTTTTCCCGGATTTCCCTCACTGTTTCATGTTGAGCAGCCGCGAGTCCAGGCTGTGCTGCCATTCCCACATTCCATTCCCCATTCCATCCCCATTCCCTGGCTGTTTATTCCCAGATTTTATCCCGGATTTTCCCAGATTAATTCCCGGATTTTCCCGTATTAATTCCCGGATTCCCCTCACCGTTTCATGTTGAGCAGCCGCGAGTCGAGGCTGTGCTGCCGTTCCCCCATTCCATCCCCCATTCCCTGGGGGTTTATTCCCACATTTTATCCTGGATTTTCCCGGATTTTATCCCGGATTTTTTCCCAGATTTTCCGGGATTTTTCCCGGATTTATTCCCGGATTCCCCTCACCGTTTCATGTTGAGCAGCCGGGAGTCGAGGCTCTCCTGCCGTTCCCACATCCCATTCCCTGGCTGTTTATTCCCAGATTTTTTCCCAGATTTTATCCTGGATTTTCCCGGATTTTTTTCCCAGATTTTCCCGGATTTTTCTCCCAGATTTCCCTCACTGTTTCATGGTGAGCAGCCGGGAGTCGAGGCTGTGCTGCCATTTCCCCATCCCATCCCCACATTCCATTCCCCATTCCCTGGCTGTTTATTCCCAGATTTTATCCTGGATTTTCCCGGATTTTTTCCCAGATTTTCCGGGATTTTTCCCGGATTTACTCCCAGATTTCCCTCACCGTTTCATGGTGAGCAGCCGGGAGTCCAGGCTGTGCTGCCGTTCCCACATTCCATTCCCCATTCCCTGGCTGTTTATTCCCGGATTTT